GACCCCGCCTATATGGCGCTGAATGCGCAAGCGTTGGAACGTTTAGGCGCACCCGGTATCGACATTAATTTTGGTTGCCCTTCCAAAACCGTGAATAAAAGTGACGGTGGCTCGGTATTGCTACGTGAACCTGAACGTGTCCACGGCATCATTCGTGCCGTGTGCGAAGCCGTCAGCCCGCATGTTCCTGTTACCGCCAAAATCCGTCTCGGCTTCAAAGACAGCAGCTTATTTGAAGACATCGCGCTCGGTGTCGAAGCCGCAGGTGCAACCGAACTTTGCATCCACGCCCGCACCAAGCAGCACGGTTACCTGCCCCCCGCCTATTGGGCAGAAATCGGTAAGGTGAAACCTAAGCTTAGTATTCCGGTGATTGCCAACGGTGAAATTTGGTCAGCCGCGAATGCCCGTCAAGCCCAAGTGGAAAGTGGTTGTACTGATCTGATGTTAGGTCGAGGTGCGTTGAGTTTCCCCGATCTTGCGCGGGTTATCCATGCCCAACATGTGGGCGAAGTGTATACCCCCTTGCCTTGGTCAGCCGTGCTGCCGCTGGTACAGCATTACGCTGATCAGTTGGAAGAACGTGCGCCCAAATACGCCACCAGTTTCATCAAGCAATGGTTTACTTACCTGCGTCGTCAATACCCAGAAGCTGAAGCGCTTTTCCAGCACATAAAACGTATGAAACTGCCGGGTGAGATCAAAGCGGCTATCATGGAAGAGTACCCCCCATCCCCAACCCTTACCCCGCAAGGGGTGAAGGGAGCATGAGTATTATGTAATGAGTGAAGTTGATAAAAACACCCGCCACCAAGCTCGTATGGCACGCAAAAAAGCCATTATTGATGCCAGTATTGCCCGTGCCGATCAGGAAAAAGGTTTGTTCCTGGTATTAACCGGTAATGGTAAAGGCAAATCCAGTTCGGCTTTCGGTATGGTTGGGCGTTCCTTGGGGCATGGTATGAAGGTTGGTGTTTGCCAATTCTTGAAAAGCCGTACTGATACGGGGGAAGAGGC